AAAAAAAATGAAGTGATATTTTCTTAAATTTCTCTAGGTAAGACATTTATATTGCTTTTAACTATTTAAAACAGTACTTATGACTTTGATGATGTGTATGTATTTCAAGATGCCAAATAAAATCATCTTGGATTTCAAATCAATAGACAATTTCATGAATTAAATACATTTAGGGAAGATTTTATGTTTGAAACTTTACCATTTGTCCAATTCTATTCTTTAAGATGTTATTTTCTTCAGTACTTTTTTGTGCTTCTTTTACCAAACTGCTGATTCTCTTTTTATAATCTTGCATCACTCATTTCTTTTCCTAATTTTTCCTTTATCTCTCTTATTTGATTTTGAAAATCCTTTTTGAACTCTTTCAGGAATTATTTTTGGGCCTTTGACCAATTCACATTTTTCTTTGAGGATTTGTATGCAGCTGTTTTGACTTTATTGTCTTTTTCTGAGTTTGTATCTTGATCTTTCCTGTCACCATAGTTAACTTTCTATGATCAGGTTCTTTTTTTGTTGTTTGTTCATTTTCCTAGCCTATTTCTTGACTCTTGACTTTATGTTAAAGTAGGGCCCCAAATTTCAGTCCTTTTGTGGTGCTATTTCAGTCTACAGGTCATCAGTGCTTCCAAGGTGGTATGACCCAGGAAGAGGTGTGGTCACTGCTCTCCTGGCCTGTGCTCTGGTCTTCACCCAGGAAGGGACCTTGTTCTCCTATAGCCACTAGTGCTAGCACTCCTCCTGGGCCTAGAATTGTGACCAGGTCTCCCACACTTCTTTAGCCACAATTACTAGTGCTCCCCCTGTCTTGGAATTGAGATCAGAGTCCTTACTCCCCCATGAGCAACCACAAGCACTTGGAACATTAACCACAATCCCTGCAACTCTGTGGCACAAGTGCTATCATTCCCTTTGGCCAGAGACTTCAACCAGGAACTATGTATGGGCAATGCAACGGGTCCTGTATTCAGCCCTAGCAAAGGGTCCCCTGCAATCTTCTGCCAACCAGCTGTCCAATACTTCCCCTTTCCAGCTGCCCCACCTCTCCCATCCTTGGGATAAGAGCCCCTGAAACTGCTGCTGCCACCAATGCGACCACTTCAAGGGTAGCTGCTGGCTTGCTAGGGCACAGCCTGCACTGTGCTGTCCGCTCTGTGCTTCAGGCCCACCAGACCACCGTTGTCTTGGGCTGGAAAACTGTTTCACGCAATCTTTTGTTTGTTCTGCTGCTCCAGTATTTAATTTGAGGCATTATTTCAGAGTAGTTTGGAGGGGAATCTGGGAGAGCTCAGTTGAGTGCTTCTCTTATCCACAATCTTGTCTCTACCTCAAGCATGCCCACTTTGAGTAGTCTCCTCCTAACTTTCCAATCTACTTACCACAGACTCTGTAACCCAGTGACACTGGTCTCCATGCTGTTTCTTCCATGAGACACTATCTATTACCATGCCCTTTCATTGACCGT